TATAGTTTTAGCTCTTACATTTAGGCCTCTGATCCATTTTGAGTTAATTTTTGTATGTGATGCCTGGTTCCAACTTTATTCTTTGGCATGTGGCTATCCAGTTGTCTCAGTACCACTTGTTGAGAAGACTATTCTTTCCCCATTGCATGGTCTTGGTACCCTTGTCAAAAATCAGTTGACCTGGGGTGCCTGGGTGGCTCAGTCGTTAAGCGTCTGCCTTCAGCTCAGGTCATGATCCCAGGGTCCTGGGATCGAGTCCCGCATCGGGCTCCCTGCTCGGCAGGAAGCCTGCTTCTCCCTCTCCCACTTCCCCTGCTTGTGTTCCCTCTCTCGCTGTGTTTCTGTCAAATAAATAAAATCTTTAAAAAAAAAAAATCAGTTGACCATAGGGGCGCCTGGGTGGCTCAGTTGTTAAGCGTCTGCCTTCAGCTCAGGTCATGATCCCAGGGTCCTGAGATCGAGTCCCGCATCCGGCTCCCTGCTCGGCGGGAAGCCTGCTTCTCCCTCCCCCACTCCCCCTGCTTGTGTTCCCTCTCTCGCTGTGTCTGTCAAATAAATAAATAAATCTTAAAAAAAAAAAAATCAGTTGACCATAGACACATGGGTTTTCTTCTGGACTCTGAATTCTATTCCACTGATCCATATGTCTATCCTTATGCCAGTATCACACTATGTTGATTACTGTTGCTTTGTAGTAAGTTTTGACTTGCTTATTGTGAAGTGCGACTACTTCAACTTAAATTCTTCTTTTTCAGTTAGTTATTTAGGAGTATATTGTTTACCTTCCATATATTTGTGAATTTTCCAGGGCTTGTTATTGTTTAGTGAGTGGCTAGATCATTTTAGGGAGTCTATCTACTTCCCACACCCCTCATACATAGTGTGAAGCTGGATGAGGGGAGGGGGGCATGACAGAGGCAGGCTGTAAAACAGAACTGATATTGCTCAGTAAGGGGGTACAGACTTGAGTGTGCCCACAGTCACCCTAGCATAACAGTGATTTTCATGGATCTCTTTCCCTGACCACACCCAGCTGTTAAGCTACTTGCACTGTTAGCCGATTGCTATCTATTTTTCAACTATGCTTTGGGGAGTAAATTGCTCCACAAACTGATCCAATCAAATTCAGGCTTCTTTGAAGGGACAGTTTCACAGCCAGTGTTTGAGATTTGTCCTGACCCCAAGCGAGCTCCTCCCAGCTGCCTCTTTCCCCATCTCTCTGTAGCACACTAGCTAGCCCCGTTCAGGCTCTATCTCCGATGAAGCTATTGTTCTCCTGCCATTTGCCTTTCACCACAACCTCCAGTTTTCGAGAATACCCTTAACCTTGAACTTCTCTTGCAAATGAAGTCAGTTCCTTGAAGGATTTGAAGTTCTGTTTTACAGCCTGCCTCTCTGTCATGCCCCCCTCCCCTCATCCATACACATCTCTTAGCCCTGATCATCTCTTCTAAAATATTTAAAAATATTTTATTTGAGAGTGAGAGAGAGAGCATGAGCAGAGGATGGGGGGCAGAGGCAGAGAGAATCTCAAGCAGGCTCCACCCAGAGCCCAACACCGGGCTTGATCTCATGACCCGGAGATCATGACGTGAGCCAAAATCAAGAGTTGGACGTTTAAGCCCCCAGGCGCTCCAGCCCTGACCATTCTTAGGCTTCACAACCACATGTCTCCTTGGACATTCCAACTTACCTGATTTGCACCCAACCTTCCTCTCAACTTGCTCTTCCACATCTTCCCTTTCTTATCTTACTGAGGAGCATCTCTATCAATTACTTCCCGAGCCAGAAACCTGGAATTATTCTAGACTCCAAATCTGTCCAACATTAGCCACTATGTCTGCATATTAGGCCTCAGGGCCACTGCTGTGGTATCATCATCTGTGGAACCTCATATCCTCTGACTCAGACTTGAAACAGCCATCCCTGGCTTCCTCCTTTGCCTCCCTCCAATCCATCCTACACACTGTCATGGTAGGATTTCCTAAAATGAAACTCTGGTCATTCCCTTGCTTAAAGTCTGGTAAGATTTCTTCACTTCCATTATGTTCATGTGAAGTTTACTCTTAGCCTGGCACACTAGGCGTCATCACCCCCCACAATTCTCAAAGTGTGGTCCTTGCCCTCACACCACCTGGGAACTTGTTAGAAATGCAAATTCTCAGGCTCCACCCCAGGCCTACCGACTGGGAAACTCTGGAGTGCAGCCCAGCCATCTGTGCTTTAACTGGTCCTCCTGAAGATTTTGACGCGTGCCTGGGCTGAGAACCACGAATCACCCTCTCTCCAGCCATATCCCGCCCTCCTCCATCCCCAGCTGCGGCCTGTGCTGGTCTCTCTGGCAAAATGCCTCTCCTTAATTCCTATGTGTTCTTTAGGAGTCAGCTCAAGCTAATTGGTGCCCTTCCTCCATGTTCTCTTATATTCAGTAATGGCCTCAGGATAACTTTATTGCAGCATGAGCCAATATCCTATCATGATTGGTTGTGTGGCTGTCTTTCCCCAGTCATAATCCTCTTGAGGGCAGAACTATTTCTTGTCCCACATACCATGCCCGGTGCAGGTTGGGCACTTGAAATGTGCTGAAGTTTAAGGATGAACTTTCTTTCTTTTTAAAGATTTTGTTTATTCATTTGAGACAGAGAGAGCACATGCAGGGGGAGAGGGAGAGGGAGAGGGAGAAGCAGGCTCCCCACTGAGCAGGGAGCCCGACGCCAGGACCCTGGCATCATGGCCCAAGTCGAAGGCAGACGCTTAACCAACTGAGCCACCCAGGTGCCCCAGGGATCAGCTTTCTAACGGGAAGACTGTGGAATCAGGAGGCAGGAGATCCAGACTATCATTCTAATTTTTAAAACATCTTACGAATAGGAAGGTCAGAAATGCCCCTTCTGCTGTCAAAGCTGAAGACACTCTCTCTGAGGCCAATTCCCAACTAGTTCTGCTTTTCACAGTCACACTGATGATTTCAAATATTTCCCTATCAAAACTACCCTCTCTCACCACCTAATGGAAAAAAAAAAAACAGAACTCAGTATTGTCCCTTCAGGGGAAGCCTTTATTGTAACATAAAATACACAATTTTGTGACTGCCCCAAATTGTACACAATACTTTTTTGGTGGCTATATACTAATCTGCCTCAACACTAAAATATGTATCTGAAATAATTTCACAAAGTTTTAAAAAGAAAAATTATAAAAAGTATACTTCCACTTTGTTATATTCACTTTTAGTCTCCCCACCCCCCTACAAAACCCTGCACATACCACACATCGAAACATTTTGATGACGTGTGTGTGTGTGTGTGTGTGTGTGTGTGTGTTTGGGAGCAAGTGAGAGGCAGGTGGTCAAGACTTGCCACTGCCTCTTTTGTGGTTTGCAGGAACAGGGAGAAAAGAGAAAATACAACGCAGATAGCGAGCACACCTTTCAATCAAAAATCTCTCCCATCTATAGGCACAGCCTCAGGGAAACTGAGGACAGCTCAGCAACTGTACAAGCACGGGACCCCTACACTCAGGGCAGCCACTTTTCAGTACCGGCAACCCCAGTGCTAACTGTAAAGGGCAAGCTCTGCCCTCAGCATCCCTGGGGGCTGGGTCTGCTATGGGGCTGACGGTGTGGCAGTCCCCGCCCGTCAGGGCTGCTAACTCCCAGCACAGCACTCACAGGCCAGCGTTGGTGAAGCCTGATGGACGGGCAGGTGAGAGTCCGAGAGCAGTCCGGCTTCCTTTTCCCCTTTCCCCACTGCTCTGATCCTCACGGGTGGAATTTTAATCAAATCTTGAGGGCTTAGGGCTTAAAGGGCTTAGCCGCATCCTATGTCAATGCTGGTATCATGGAGGGGTCCGCCTGCTCCTCAGAGGCAGAGAGATTCTACTGCCTGGCATAGAAAAATAAATGTGTATGAAACCAAGCCAGGGCAAACAGCAGCTTTTAAAAAGTCATCTTCCAATAAATAATTTACTACAGAGGAATATTTTCCTTTAACATCAAAGCACTGATGAATTCGGAAGTCATTTTTGTAAAAAAAATATCTGTTTATTTACTCACATGTATAAAAATAAGGTTTTTAGGGCCATTCTCTCCTGGGTGCAGTCATTGTTGGAGAGGGGGCCAGGGCTGAGTGGCTTGTAGGCCTACCCCAAAAGCTGTATCTGCTGCCCCTCTTCCCACCTGACTGCCACAGCCCATTCCTTCCATCTGATGTGAAGCTACGGAAGAAACTGTGGACATTATACTGAAGCTGTTTTGTTTTGTTTTTGCGGCTTACCAAGCTTCCCAGGAAACCCACTGACTGCATTTCCCCAAATGACCAACGCCCAACACCCGGCAGCCCATACCAAGTGGGCAATGACCTCGTGGAACATGCTGGCCCTGGGTTCAGACTGTGTTCCTGCCACCCCCTCCCCAAGACAGCCTGTGTGAACAGTGAAGGGAAGCGAGGTGACTTGGGTATGAATGACACAGGACCTGCCACAGGAAGAAAGAACTGTGATATCAGATGAGGGTGGGAAGAGGAAAACAAGAAGTCTCAATTTAGAAACAAAACACCACCATGTGCAAACAGCCATCATCAATGAGCCTTGGGGTAGCCGCACTTGAGCGGAAGGATGGGCAGCCCGGAGGGCAGGTGCCCCAGGGAGCAAGGCAACTTCCTCAGCACCCATGGGTCACGGCTGGGCCTTCCACTCTGGCCATGATACAAAGGACATCAACACAGTAAGCTGTGGGTATGCGACCCTCTTCTCCGGTTCGTCACACGTGTCTGCACGCGCTTACACACGGAGAGCTGAGCGGCAATTCCACGGAGTGGAAGGAAGGAGGGGGGGCGGGAGAGGACATGCAGATGGGTTAGATGGGTTAAGGGTTATTTAAAAAGCCACTACCCATCGGACAACCCACGACTTCCCTTGTCCCAACAATCACCAGACATTCCCCCTTTACCCATCCCTATCCAGGAAAACAGGGGCGGGGGAGAGGGAAGGTGGGAGGACGGCTTTCTTTTTCAAAAGGCAGTTTCTACAATTCAAAGGAAAGCAGAGACAGTCACGGTTATATATCAATTGCTTGGCAGACACAGTGACAAATCTCACGGAGCGGAGGTGCTTTCTCCTCCCTTTGTCCTTCTCTTACTTGAACAGACACATGGCCAAGTTCCAGGGTTCATGGAACTACTGCCTTTTTTCACAAGGTTAAAACAACCACAGCCTCTGTTTGTGGCCCCAATGCTGCGACTAAACTCTGCACAGCAAGGGGGAGAAACAGCCCAATGTGTAAACTCACACACTCGTGTGCGCGCACACACTCACACTCACACACTCACACACACTCCCTTCACTGGTGCCACCATGCACAGAAACACTAAAGTCACAACTAGTATTAACACTTCACATTATGACTATTGTTTCCAAAGAGAAGCGATTCATGGAATTAAAACATCCACAAGAGTAACTCCTCTGGCGAGGATGAAGAAGCTGAAGATGGAGACGGGGGGTCACGACTGTGCGTGAGGGATCCACTGACTGTCCATAGGTCGGCCTAAGAGCTCCTCCACACGGCGTGCCACATCCATGGTGTCGTCCAGATCAAAGTCCCCATCGTTGTCAAGGACAGGGTCAGGGCTTTGAGGGAAAAGAGAAAAGATGAAGGGAAGGGAAAGGTTGTCAGAGGCCCAATGATGAGGAACAGAGACCAACCCAAGCCCCAAACCCCACCAGGTGCATGGCCCAAGACTGCCTATACCCGCTGCCTAGGCTTCGTGGGAAAAGACACTCATGATCTAAACAGTGGAGAGTAGAGTCCTTTGCTATCAGGACAGAGAGTCTCAAACTAGAATACCCACCCCAGTTGCCCCTAACCCTGGCTGTCCACACATCTAAAGCCCATCTGATCTTTATACAGAACAAGAAAAATCTCTATTTTGGGAGAGGGGAGTAGATGACATTTGCCCAAATCCACCCTAAACTACCAATATCTTCTGGCTGAATCTCTCTCCCACCTGGGTACATGCCAGAGCCCGGCCTGGGTGGTCTCAGACCTACAGGAGCTCTGGGTCCCTTTGCCCACCAGCCCTCCCGGGGCCCAGCCTGAGGCCAGGTGCCCATTTCCTTCCCGCGGAGCCCCATGAGAACACAACCTACTTCTGGGGATACATGTTATAATGAGCCTGGGGGCACACGGCTGGGGAAGGGGCCTGGTCCATGTAGGTGGCGCCAGCCCCCGCAGAGTCTGCAGACGCACTCACAAACCTGCAGGAGAAACACAACAGAGCCTCAGTGGCCTCTGGGCAGCAGCTGACTTGGGGAGGGGTGGGCAGGGGGCATTTTTATACCTTTTTTGGGGTATGGAAGGACAAAGTGCCCACTGGGCCTGGGACTCCAGCTGCAGGAGTGGGGCCCTGGGTCCTGGTCCCATTGAGACTAAGCCCAGTTCCCTCTCCAGGGTTGAGCCAGGCTTAAGGGGGGAAGGACGGGCTGGGCCACGCAGGGCCTGTGAGTGGGAAGAGCAGCGGTGAGGGGTGAGGGGGACCGGGGGAAGAGAAAGGAGGCAGCAGGAGACCAGAGCTGGACCCTGGGTACTTACTCAGGGACCACTTGCTTGATCTGTGGCTTCACGTATCCGTCCACTGCTTTAGCTGCCGAGGGGGGAACGGTGATGAGAACCAAAGTTCTCAATGAAATTAAAATACAATCTCCCTTAAGAATCACATCTTTTCTCAGGATAGGACACAACCACCTAGTTTTATCTTAGGATCTGATACAAGCACTTAATATTTTAATCTGTTAGGAGAACCTGCTCTAGGAGAAGTCTCAATACTAAAACTGTAAGTTAAAATATCTTCTGAGGGGCGCCTGGGTGGCTCAGTCGTTAGGTGTCTGCCTTTGGCTCGGGTCATGGTCCCAGGGTCCTGGGATTGAGCCCCGCAGCGGGTTCCCTGCTCGGCGGGGAGCCTGCTTCTCCCTCTCCCACTCCCCCTGCTTGTGTTCCCTCTCTCACTGTCTCTCTGTCAAATAAATAAATAAAATCTTAAAAAAAAAAAAAAACTTCTCAGTTGCCTTGGATGTGTTAATAAATTCTTCAAGCCACAGAAAACATATACTTCAGTACAAATTTATTTATTTATTTTTTTTTAAGATTTTATTTATTTGAGAGAGAGAATGAGATAGAGAGCACGAGAGGAGAGAGGGTCAGAGGGAGAAGCAGACTCCCCGCTGAGCAGGGAGCCCGATGTGGGACTCGATCCCGGGACTCCGGGATCATGACCTGAGCCGAAGGCAGTCGCTCAACCAACTGAGCCACTCGGGCGCCCCTTCAGTACAAATTTAAACCAAGCATTAATTGTACAGTAAGTATAAAAAGAAAAAGTATCTTAAAAGTTTAAAGCTACAGATGCAGCAGAGTGGCAGGATTTACTTTGTGTCCCAGGAAAAAAATTAGGAGGAGCGCAGAAGAGGACAAATTTTCTTTTTTTTTAAAGATTTATTTATTTATTTGACACAGAGAGACACAGCGAGAGAGGGAACACAAGCAGGGGGAATGGGAGAGGGAGAAGCAGGCTTCCCGCGGAGCAGGGAGCCCGATGTGGGACTCGATCCCAGGACCCCGGGATCATGACCTGAGCCAAAGGCAGATGCTTAACAACTGAGCCACCCAGGTGCCCCACAGATTTTCAATCATAGAAAGAAGAATGTTGTCATAATTAGAACTGCCCACAACAGAAATGGGCTGTCTTGGGAAGAACTGATTTCCCATCACTGGAGACCTTTAAACGGAAGTGTACAAACACTTGTCAGGGGGTTCTACTGAGAAATCAAAGAGAGGAATGAATTTGACTTGATGGTCCCTGGAGTCACTCTGACTCTTGAGTATCTCCTCTTTTAGGAAAGGGAGTATCATTCAAATATCTATGTGCTCTTTTGTTTCCCTGGGGTTTCTGCATTTGGGGGTAATCTGATGGTCACTCATCCTGTACTGTCCATGCCCCGTGGCTGGTTAAGAATGCTGGTGTGTCTCTCTTCCACCCTCCGACAAGTCCCCACTGGGATGTGGGCGGTCAGGGGATAAACCCGAGAGTGGTCTGGTCAGCTGTAGTTACCTTTTTAAAAGACTGACTGTGGAAATCCAGTTAAGTGAGCCTGAAGTCATTGAATGAAGTCTTGTTTCTTGGCTATGTGAGTATGGGAATACGTATAGTCCTAACAATGTTAGACAATGAAGATGACACTAAGGTCAGGAGGGTGAAGAGCTTGTCAGTGATATAGTCCAAGATAGTGAAATGCTACATGGTTCACAAGTTGCTTGTTATCCTAACCAGCTTCTTCTAAGGCTTCAAATGTCAGGAGCTACCTTTTTATAATACTGCATGCTTTTTGTGCTTTATAGTTTATAGAGAATTTTATGGATTGGCAGAAAAGATAAAAACCAAAGAAATGCTGTAAAAAATAGGATTTAAAAATCTAGATTAGCTGTGCTAACAAAAAGAAACAATGATAGGTTTAATCCAAAGTACCACATAAATCTAGGGGTGCCTGGGTGGCTCAGTCAGTTAAGTGTCCAACTTTTGATCTCAGCTCAGGTCACGGTCGCAGGGTTGTGGGATCGAGCCCCAAGTCGGGCTCCACACTCAGTGGGGGAGTCTGCTCAAGAGTCTCTTTCTCCCTCTCCCTCTGCTCCTCTCCCCTGCTCCCTCTCATAAAATAAATAAATATTTAAAAAAACAAAATACCACATAAATCTAAAAACTTCTGGTTTATTTTGCCACTTGGAAATCTAACCATCATTGCAGAGTGGGAAGACATGATACGAAAGACAGACACTATAAAGGAAAAAGGTTGATGGATTGGGCTGTATAGAAAATACAAGTTTTGTACTTTAGCAAAATAAAACTTCAGTGCTAGAAGAACAATGACATACTGAGAAAAATGTTTGCCATATATAATAAAAGGCTTATTTACTATGTAAAAATACTTAGACATCATTAGGAAAAAACAGAACTCCAAAAGAAAAATGAACAGGGAATATAAACATACTTCACAGAAAAAATATAAACAGCCAGTAATATGGAAGTTAGAAATTCAGACTCTGGAGCTTAGACTGTTTGAGCTCAAACCCTGGTTTGGTCACTTCCTAGCTGTGTGGACTTTGGCAAATTATTTCACTTCTCTTTGCCTCAAATCCTCATATGTAAAGTGAGGAGAGTCACAGGACCTACCTTGCATACCTGTTTTGAGGATTAAATGAGACAGTATGTGAAATGTGCTCAGAAAAGTGCCCAGCACACAGTAAGCACTCAGCAAATGTTAGCTGCTATTATTACTCTAGTTACTACTATTATTATTATGAAAAGATGTTGTGACCTTACCTAGAATCAAAGAAATGAAAATAAGAACTAAGACATTTTTATGCCAATCAGATCGGCAAGCATTAAATCAGTGAGCAGAATCTATGATTGGCAGGGGGTGGAGGAGCAGGTACTCCCAACAGACATCTGTGGGAGTGAGGACAGATTACGATTTTGTAAATGTGTGTCAAGAAGCTTAAAAGGTATATATACCCTTTGACACAAATTCTACTTTAGGAGTTTATCCTAGGGAAATAGTTGAACAGGATGCATGCACCAGGTTATCTCAGTTAGTTTATGTACATATGTACGTATGTATGTATTTAGTAAGCTACCCCCAACATGGGGCTTGAACTCACGATCTTGAGATCAAGAGTTGCGTGCTCTAATGAATGAGCCAACCAGGTGTCCCAGGTTATCTTGATATTAATTCACAACAGAAAACTGTGAATAACCTAAATTTTAAGTCTCTCAAATAACTGACATCAAATCATCATACAATGGAATTCTATGCAATCAGTAAAGTGATGTTGTAAGATTATATTTACAGACCTGCAACTCTGCCCATGGTACATTTTTAAGTGGGGAAAGAAATCAGATCACAAAAGATTATATATGCTGTGACCCAAAACATTTACTGGACTCCAAGCCTGACACGATCTGGCCTCCCTATTGCTCTGCCATCACCTCCTACACCTTCTTTCCAGCTCATTCAGCTCTAGCCTCCTGGGCCCTTGTGGAGTCTTTCAAACACACCAACCTCACTCCTACCTCAGGGTTTTTAAACTTCTCTCAACCTAGAAGGTTTTTTGTCTAGATCTTTTTTTTTTTTAAAGATTTTATTTATTTGACAGAAGAGAGAGCACAAGTAGGCAGAGTGACAGGCAGATGGAGAGGCAGAAGCAGGCTCCCCACTGAGCAGGGAGCCCGACTGGGGACTCGATCCCAGGACCCTGGGATCATGACCTGAGCTGAAGGCAGACACCCAACGACTGAGCCACCCAGGCGCCCGTGTCTAGATCTGTGTGTGGCTAGCCTCCTTACTTCGTTCAGCTCTGTGCTGATAGCACCTCCTCGGAGAGACCTTGTCTGACCACTCTATTGAAATGCCACCCCTATCCTCCCTGTCCCATCTCTACCTCTTTTCCATGCTTTCTTGTCTTCATAGCACCCATCACTAAATAAATCTATTTGTCTGTTGTCCTCCTTCCACTACTAGATTGTAACCTCCACACAGGAAGTACTAACAAGCATCTGGTGACTGACTGAATGAAGGATACATACCTACACAGATGGGAACAATAGTCACCGAATTTTTTACAGTGGTTACTATATAGATGAGAGATGTTATGTGATATCTGTTTTCCATACTTTTCTGGAAATTTTACAATTAATACAGAATACTTTTATGATCAGAAAACAATAAAACCATCTGTTTTGAAAAACAAATTTTATCTTTTTAAAAAATATTTTATTTATTTATTTGAGAGAGAGAGCAAGCAGGGGAACAGCAGAGGGAGAGGGGAAACAGATTCCCCACTGAGCAGGGAGCCCAACATGGGGCTCAATCCCACGACCCTGAGATCATGACCTGAGCCAAAGGCAGACACTTAACAAACTGAGCCACCCAGGTGCCCCAAATTTTATCTTTCTAATTTTGTTTGATCTAAGCTTGTTTTAAAAACAACTTGAAAAAAAAATAATAAAAGCAATTCATTCCCTTCAATTTGATATTTGGGGTTAGCGGCAGATATGACTGAAGAATACAGTCCGGGATTTACAACTCCCCTGAATAATGCTCAAACACTAATACTAAATACTAATTGTGTAGGTTTTCATGCAAGACAGAAAGACACACATACACACACAAAACTAAAAGAAAACTAAAATCACAACAAAACCAAATCAGAATGCGAACATTGTTACCAGTGGCAGGCTCGCATGGAACTGGTGTGTAATATTTGGAGTACACTTCATCTTTTGGCCGATCAGGAAACACGTAGATAAGGTAATTCAGGTCCCCCAAGCGATCGGCCAGGGACCGGATGGAGAAATCTCTGGTGGTAAAAGGCATCAGGTTCCAAAACATTCTTTCCTCTAGAACAATAAACAGAATAATCATATTCTAAGCACGATTTCTAAACAGGAAATCTTAAAACCCAAATATACTACAAATCAAAGCTCTCCCAATAAAGATCTCCATTTAAAAATAACCACAGGTTGGGGCACCTGGGTGGCTCAGTTGGTAAAGCAACTGCCTTCAGCTTGGGTCGTGATCCTGGGGTCCTGGGATTGAGCCCCACATCAGGCTCCCTGCTCTGCAGGGAGCCTGCTTTTCCCTCTCCCTCTGCCTACCGTTCCCCCCTGCTTGGGCTCTCTGTCAAGGTAAATAAAAACTTTTTAAAAAAATTAAAAAAAAA